TCATGAACTAAATATACGAACACAGCAACACGCGTAGAAAGATGAAATGAAACACATCCTCAAAAGAAGGAGAAAGACTAGGCTCTGCATGAGACGATAAAACCAGATTGGATTATTTTCCTATTAGTCTTCTGATGAGGATTATATTCCTATCCGAAACGGGATATCTTCGTATTCCTTTCTCATTGTGACTTGCAGTGACTGACAAATATGCTAATATATTTACCCTTAACTTACACCAATACACAAATAATACAACAACTAATTTATTGAAGTCTCGAGAAATACCTCGTAGAAGGCCTTGTAACAGGAGGAGGAGGCTCTGGCAGGAGGTAAGGTTCCTCCGTCTGCGTGGACACTGAAGTCGTCATCGTATCCGTCTGAGTTCCCACGCTCACCTTCTGTTGGGCAAAGAGGAGGGTAGACTCTTTCAGCAAGATTCAGAACAGTAATTTAGCTGAACTGCTGGTCATTATCAGGAAATGCTCTAAAACAGTGTCCACCTACTGCTATATAATAATTTCCATTGTTCCGTTCTGCGTGTCATCTTCTCTGGTTTATTTATTACAGGTTATCAATAGTGTATGATGACAATGTATATAAGATAATTACACTATTTGGAATGATTCTAGCTTACTGATATGTGAGAGATAGAAGTATGTAGGTCTAGTTTAATTTGGTTATAATTTTCAAATCACTCCATGGTACTCCAGAAAGTATCACATGGTCCCCTGGTTGTTAGCCCCTGCTCTAAAAAAGGTTTTTAGCTGTATTTTGACTTAGCCTTTTAAAATAAACATCCTCAAAAGATATTTAGCTGAACCAAAGCTTCTCTAGAAACTAAAGCGATGTTTTGTTGAACTGAAGTTAGGCTTTGTTCTCGAGAAACACGAACATTATAAAAAATTAGCTGAACTGAGATTCGTTCTCTAGAAATGCAAACACACTAAGTAGTTATTCAGTTGAATTGAGGTTTGTTATCTAGTAATCCAAATACTTTAAAAGGGTATTTAGCACTATTTCGATTAATTCTTTAGAAATAGAAGTAGACGACCTGAAAAGATATTTAGCTGAATGAAGGTTTGTTCTCTAGAAATACACACTGCAATGGCTATATAGATGAGTTGCGATTCGCATCCAGAACTAAAAACCAAAGACTATATACGAAAGACAGGAAACATGCTATCTAACGCATTCTAAAAAAATGTGAGCTCCCCGGTCGTCCACCAGCGCCATCTGTTGACTCGACGCCCAACTAAACGTCCGACGTCGCGTCGTTCAGTGTGGGTGTGCTCAACTCGAGCTCATGTTCTTGGTCAATGCAGACTTATTCAGAGGTGGTTATGAATAGCTTATTTACTAATGAATATATATATATATATATATATATATATATATATAATTCATATGGTATCATGACTTTGTAGTAGCATTTATTTTCTTCATATAATTCCTTCGCCCCTCCCAGCCTGAAACTATCCATTCGGCAATTTAGGGCTGGTTAAATTGGTAGTTCATACATGCACGGCATACATACGGCGTATACAACATCCCATATACAGGACATTAAACCACGTGGCACGGTGAACTTATAGGCCTACAGTCACATAACATTAGTGACATATAATTTATATGATTATATTGTCAAACATGCATCAATACATAGAAATTGAGTATGATAAATTAAAGAAAATTATTACAATATTTTTATTAGAATAATAACAAAACCCTTACAAATAAATGGCCGAAATACACATTTTTATTTAAATTCTTCATATTACGACCGCATGATTTTGAGATTAATTTCCTCATTAAAAAGTTTTTATGTTTGATTAGGGGACTGTCCCCTACCCCTCTTTCCTAGGAGCTGCCTGGAATGCATCTGCTACACCTTGTATACTCTGTCTTGGAGCTCGAAACAGGCCACCCGTCGTTGTCCTGGTAACATTTAAACTTATTTTACTTTTTTCTATATTTCTGTTTGTTCCTACTATTCAATATATATATGCTGATTTGGGTGATAACTATGATCTAACTCAAAATCAACCTAGCAATTTTTTCACTCTATTGATGTTAAATCTATCGTCAGCTTACGTCAAATTGTAGATTAAGGCTTGCACTATAAGTCGATCTTTGGCCTGTACTTTTTTTTAGACGGGCGTCATGACTTGACACCTTTACCAATCAAAATAATTTCGTGTGATCCAATTTATATCTTGCTTGTGTCAATCTGAACATCACATATCTTAAGTTATATCTAAAAAAACATAAATATTACAAACCTTTCTTTTTCCTTGGAAAAAATATGAAATATAAGTTGTTTATTCTCTTCTTTTTGCTTTTTACAAGCAAAACAAGGATATGACTTTCCTGGCAATGTCTGAACTGTCATTACAATTTTCGCGCTTCTATGTAAACAAACAGACGGTATGAGATGACGTCACGAGATGCTCACTAACGCCATCTATTGCGCCGACGCCCCATTACTCACAAGATTTTGTTCGACTTTCCGGTCTTTCGTAGATAGTCTTTGCTAAAAACATATTAAAAGAAATCTAACTGAATTTAGAATTATAAATACCTTAAATATTTACCTGAATTTAGATTCGTTCTCTAGAAACAAATCTAACAAAAATATGCAAGTAATCCTAGGGTCATCAAATTCTTTTGCTTTCCCGATTTCTTACATCCACAAACATCTATTATCGTCGGGCTGAGTTTATACACCAGCTTGCCGCGATAATAGTATAGACTCACTTCCACACCCCGGCTTGATAACAAGGCTCGAGAAAATGTATGTTTATAATCTTTTTCCTACTGTCATGGACCTGAGTGTCTGTGGACGTGTAGTATGATCGATTTCACAGACGTATGTCGCATATTCTTCGTGTTTGAGACGAGGAATACTGACTTCACTGACATTATTTTACTAAAAAAAAAACAATATGAGTGACTACGTTCGTGTATTGAGCTTTTCGAAGTCTGGTCCAAAGTATGTTCTATTTACTTGCATTCTGTATTGTTTTTAAGTACGTTCTATTCACTTTGGTTTTATTCTAAAGTAAAGATTATCCACTTTAGTCTTGGTCGAGAGTCAATTCTATCTACTTTGGTCTTGGTCTAGTGATTTTTACCCACTTTGGTCTGAAGTTTACCTTGGCGGGGCTCATGCAGGTGGTGGGTCGGGCTGCCTCGGAGTTGGCGAGGGGGAAGTAGCGGTAGTCCGTCTGCACAAATGCATCCGTGTGGTTTAGCTCTGTTGGGGCAGTGAGGAGGAGGGTTTACATTTCTTATATAAAGATACAATTATACACACACACACACAAACTCCCGAAAGCATGCACACACACACAGACACACTCACGAAAGCATACACGCACACACACATACACTCACGAAAGCACACACACATACACACACACACACACACACACACACACACACACACACACACACACACACACACACACACACACACACACACACACACAAACTACCAAAGTCAAACAGTCACATCATATCCTAACATATACCGATTCGCATATAGGCCTATCATTCTCCTATCTCCTCAGAACTTACGAAAATGTGTCGCGTTTGGAGGGAGCGTTTGAGTCTCTCTGTCCACGAGGCCGCTGAGGTCCCAGTCGAGCTCCTCCTCGCTCACCGCCTCCGTCTGTATGGCTACCTCCATCACTGCCGCCCATGTCAGCTGCAAGATCAAAGGGGATTGGTTGAGTTGTTTTAGCATGGCGGGTGTAATAGAAAGATTTATCAGCTTGGAAATTTGAAAAAAAGGATGGGGTGGGATCTGAGGTTGGAATATGGAAGATATAAAAAGATTTCAAAGCTAAATGAAAGAAGAATTGGGTATGTTTCTAGGGTTAGCTGGGAAATAAAGATAAATATGTGAGGTACGAAAGCTATTTGACAGCTGGAAAACAGAATTATAACATGGCTAGAAAATATAGGCATGTTTGGCGGGTGGAATATATTTGGATATTTAACACCTAAAAAATAAAGGAACGTTTGAATACGCTGCATGATAGCTGGGGTATAAAGGGATATTTGAGTGTTCCATAGATAGAAAATAAAGGGGCGTTTGATGTTGCATGCTGATGGAAAGTTAATTGTTACATGACAGGTGGAAAATTAATGGATTTTTGGCAAGTTTAGTAGGTTACATGACACTAGAAAATAAACGTACACAGTAGTTGGAAAGTAAAGGGATATTTGGGTATATTGCATTTATATTTCGTTTATCATGTTAGAAGTAACTTCAACAGCTCATGTCATCCGATTACTTCTACGGATTTAGGTTTCTTATATATGTTGGTTCCCCGCCTACTGATGTCTCCTGCTGCGCCGGTCCCCTAAACTTTGACCTGCTCGTTGGTTATCACCTCTTACATTCAGATAATTTTATCCTGTTTTTTTTATTTTCTTTTTTCAGTCCATTTGCGAGTCTCAGAAATCAGTTGTATTCTTTGTCGGAGTATTCTCTTTATTAGGCTTGGAGACCAGGCAGAAGTACAAGGTCTTTTCATTCGTTGACATACGAAATTTTTCTTTTTATTTAGTTGCTTCTCTTTCGCCCTCCATGTTCTTGACTATAGAGAAATACTCTTTGTTGGACTTAAGGCCCCCAAAAATCTAGGTCATGAAAGTATAACGTTATGTTTACTTTTTTTGTTACTATTCCGTCGTGCTTCTGATGTTACGCTATACACTATGGTCTAAGTTCATCCAATCAATGACATTATTTTTATATTTATTCTTTAGTTACTTCTTCCTCGTCCTCGTAGTAATATACTTAACAATGCTTAAAAAACAATCACTTATTTGTCGAGTACCTAACCCCTTTGTTTCAGTGACCTAGGATTATACACAAACGATCATAATCTGACCTGGTTCCTTCCTTTCGGTGGGTCAGTACACGGATTAAATCGTCTTGCTTTCATGTCAGATAATCCTACGGTCTTATCGTGTCTTCCTGCCCTCCTTTGTAATCCTCCCTGTCACTTATAAATCTCTCAAACGAATAGGAAACTCACCCTTTCTTTTTAAAAATTCAGGTTGCGTTGTTCACAAAGGATGTAATGAGGTTATGTAAATTTCACGTTTCTTCAAAGAATATCTCTCGAATTTACAACAGAAACGTTGCCTTTTTATATTATCTATTTATATATATATTTTGCGTGAGGGATATATTAAATGAAAGAGAATGATAAATGAATGATAACAAACTAAAAACAAAGGCATTCAGTTACTCCGAGTCATATCATATAACAAATTCCTTTCGTGTTTTACTACAGGTTAACAACGCTGAAAGGCAGTGTAATGACCCACACTGTATATTACCGTATACATACATATGTGTGTGTGTGTGTGTGTGTACGCGCGCGTTTGTGCAGCATTTAATACTATAATTTCTTACTATTCATATCAGGTACTATATTTGTCACACAAACACACAGCTACAGTATATTTTACGTGAAAAGGAAAACAGAGTAAATATTCATCAAATATTTAGAATGAGTTTAGGTGTATATATCATGGATCATTAACGGTATCCTTTATAGTATCATTATAAATGTCGGTGGCATTTCTACCAATGGCATTATCTTTCGTCATTATCAATATTACTGATTTAATGATGATACTGAGGATAATCTCTCTCCAGTAACATATTTGAGACATACTTGAAAATACTAACCCATTTTTGTCCATATTTGCATAACCACAGGATATCTCTGTAGTTTTGTAAACAAACTTTTATAATCGTATTTTCTCGAATTTTTCATAGAACTGATGTAACTAGTACACATTCCTAGATTTTTTTTTTTTTACAGAAAGCTCTAAAGCCACAACGTATATCAAGCGTCTTGTGTACACAATCATGTACCACCCATTTCTATATAAAGATTTATATATATAAAGATATATATATCCCCTTTCTTTATAGCCATATTTTCAATACACAGCTCTATGATGATATCCGTATGTTAAGTAAAATCGTTTTTTTTTTCTTTTTTTTTAGCTTGTAGTTTTGTTTTTCTTCTTTCTTTTCTTTCTTCTTTTTTCTTTTTTTTTTAGTTTTAGTTTTTTCTTCTTTTTCTTTTCTTTCTTTCTTCTTTCTCTCTCTCTCTCTCTCTCTCTCTCTTTTTTTTTTTTAGTTTTATATCACGGTGGTGTTAATGTACACTACAACCAAACAGATCTGTACCACCTCCCACGCAACGGCGGAAAGGGGGGCACGGTACACACGCAAGGACGGCCTCCGAAGTGTCCTTCCTACTTCTCCGTTCATGTGTTTTTTTTTCTCTCTCTCTTGTTTCGTTTTGTTTTCTTCGTTTTTGGAGGGAGTTTGTGTTTTCTTTTTTTTCGATGTTTTTTTTTTCTTATCTTCATTTCTCTTCATTCATCCCCTTTGCTTTTGCTTCTATTCTTTCTTTTTCTTTATGTATTATCTCCGTATTCCACATTTTTTTCTTCATCTGTATCTGTTCTTTTCTTTTCTTCCTACCCTTGTACACTCTCCCATTATCTTTGTATTTTTTCATATCTGCTTTCTCTTATTTTCTTTGCTTCCTCGTTTTTTTTTTTTTTTTTTTTTTTTTTTTTTTTTTTTTTTTTACTATTTGCTCTTCAGCCTTTTTAATAATTATTTTTTCTTTGTTTTTCTTTTTTCTCTCTCCTTCGGTTACGTCTTTAGGCTTTAAAACAACTATTGCTTCCCACCTTTTTCTTCTTTGTCTCCTGTCTCCCTTTCTTCCTCTTCTTCAATCTGTCATTTCTTTTTTTTTCATTATCTCCTTCTCTTGCTTCTCTCTTTTTCTTCTTCACCTCCTTTTTACTCCAACTTTACCTTTTCCCTCTCCTCTTCTTCGTCTTCCATGCCTTTTCTTTCCTTCTACTTTGTGTTCTATTCTCATTTGTTATTTATTTATTCTGTCTTCATATGTTCTTCCTGTCCCTTCTCTATTTCTTTTTCTTATTATGTCTCTCCCTTTCTTCTCTCCGCTTCCTCCTACTCATCTCTTCCCCTTTCTTCTCGTCTCGTCTCATTCTCCCTCCTACTGTCTCCTTCTTTTGTCGCTTCTCTTCCCCTCTCTTCTCTTCCTCCTCCTCTGTCTGCCCTTTCATCTACTCTCTCACTTCCCCCTCCCCTCTTCCCACCCTTTATTCCCTCTCTCCTCTTCCTTGTTCTTACTCTCCTCTCCCTACTGCTCTGTATCTCCGTTTTTCTCTCTCCTCTTTTTCCTGCTCTTTCTTGCTCTTCTTCTTCCCTCTCTCCTTTTCTTCTATAATCTTTCTCTCCTTCCTCCTTTCTTCCCTCTGTTATTCTACTCCCTTTACCTCCCTCCCCCTTCTCCTTCCTCTCTTCCTACTCTCATTTTTCCTTCTACCCTCTTCCTCCTGTTCTGTCTTTTCCTTTTTTCCCTCCTCTTCTTCCTGTTATTCCTTGTTATTCTTCCTTCTGTTCTGTCTCATCTTCCTTGTTACTTTTTTTTATTTATCTCAACTCTTTCTTCTCTATACCTTTCCCCTTTCTTCTTTCTCTCTTTCCCCTTTCTCTCTCTCTCTCTCTCTTTCCCCTTTCTTTCTTTCTCTGTCTCCCTCCCTCCTTCCCTCCCTCCCACCCTCCCTCCCTCCCTCCTCTCTCTCTCGTCTTCCTCCTATCCCTCCTCCTTCGCCAGGCACTTGACACGGCTCATCACATATTAAAGAGACATCGAACACGAAGCCACCGCAAGGGGACAGAGGCCTTGGCACCTGACTTCCCTTTGTTTGTTTGTGTTGTTGTTGTTTTGTTGTCCTTGTCCTCTTTCTCCGTGATTCCCTTATTGTTGGTTTTGTTGTGATGTTGTTGCATTTGTTGTTGTTATGATTGTGATAATTATTATTATTATTATATATTATTATTGTTGTTGTCATTATCATTGTTATTAACATTATCATTAAGTTATTAGCATTATCTTTAGTAAGTTATTAGCATTCTCATCATTATCAATGTATCATTATTATCACTGTTATCATCATCATCACCATCTTTATCATTATCATTATTATTACTCTTATTACTATTACTATCAATATAATAAGTATTATCACTATTATCATTCTCAATAGCGTTATAATAATGTTTGTTATTTTATCATTATCATTACAATCATAATCATTATCACTGTTATCATTATCAATATTATCATAACCATTTTTTGTAATTTCATCATCATTAGTTATCATTATTATCATCAGTATCATTATAATCATTTTTGTAATCGTATTATCATTATCATTATTGTTATCATCATCATCATTATCATGAACATTATCATCTTGATGATGATAATTATTATCATCATCATACAATCCCTCTTATTAGTATTGTTACTATGGCAACGATGGTGTTACTAATGGCGACACTTATAGCTGAAATTATCATTATCATCATCGGGTTACTGTGTTATTTTCATCGTAAATAATGTTGTGGTTATTGATGTTTTCTTCCTAATGTTTACATTGGTAGTAGAGTAGTAGTAGTATCATAACTATCTTTATCATTAGCTTCACTATAATTATAGCTATTTATATTTCACTAGTTCTATTGCCATCTATTTATTGTTCATAAACTGCCAGATTACACTCACGGGGTTATCCGCATTCGTATCAGTAAAATGTCAGTAAAACAAGGGCTATCAATTTTTTTTTGTAATGTAAATGTATGAACAAATGTATGTGGACAACTTTTGTGAACAACTTTACGTGAATAAATTTATGTGAACAACTTTAGTGAACAACGTTACCTAAACAATTTCATGTAAATAACTGTGAACACCTGCGAAAAACTTTGCCTGAACAACTGAACTGCGGAAAACTTTACCTGAACAACTTCATATGAACACCTGCGAAAAACTTTACCTGAACAACTTCATATGAACACCTGCGAAAAACTTTACCTGAACAACTTCATATGAACACCTGCGAACATCTGTGAACAACTTTATGTGAAAACCTACTTAACTCTCCACATGCCAAGTAATTTAACGAAATCAAACATGCCATGTAACTTCACCATTCAGGCCAACGCTATAAAATATGTACAACTGGGCATTATATCGACTCTTACATTATAACAAAGAGATCGCGAAATTAATGTTTGAAAGGTAGGCCAGTTTGTGCTTGTCGGTTTCGCATTATTTTTCTTTCTTCTTTGCCTATTCTTCTTATTTCCTGTGATTTTTCGTTTTGTTTTTCTCTGTATTTTTGCTTTCTCTTTTCTTCTTCTATCCATCCAGGTGTTTTAATTTCCCATTATTTTTCTTTCTTCTTTGCCTACCTTCTTTCCTATTTCATTCTTTTTTGTTTTTCTCTTTTCTTTTTACTTTCCCTTTTCATCCCCTTCTTTCCATCCGGGTGTTTTAATTTCCCATTATTTTTTCTTTCTTTTTTGCCTCTTCTTATTCTTTCCTATTTTTCTTCTCATTTTTGTTTCTTTTTACTCCCTCTTTTCTTCTCCTTCTTTCCATCTGGGTGTTTTAATTTTCCATTATTTTTCTTTCTCCTTTGCCTCTTCTTCTCCTTCTTTCCTATTTTTCATCTTTTTTATCTTTTTTTTTACTCCCTCTTTCTTTCTCCTTCTTTCCATCCAGGTGTTTTAATCGTACCTACATTATACCTAACCAGAATAATATAATCAAAGAAAACGTCTTATTGTTTTTAATGTCCATTTATCAAAGCGCTTTTCATGAACCTAAGAAAGTATAGATTCATGGGCCATGCGACCTGTTATTGGCCATTGTTTCAGGGCCATGTTATAGTTATTTCCACGCTGGCGAGTAGTCCTAGACATGCTCATGAACGCTAAATAAATGGGGTTATTACTGTCATATTAGCATGTTAAGGAGGTGCATGATATGTGTGTTTGGTGCGCTCGCAAAGCGTGTGTGAGTGCGTGTGTGTGTGTGTGGTGTGTGTGTGTGTGTGTGTGTGTGTGTGT